CCGTCCCCGCTCGGTGCCGGGGGATTAGGGGCCGCCTGGCGCGGGGTTGGCCGGCCCCGGCGCTGCCGCGGCTCCGGCGAGAGCCAAGGAGGCCCCGATCAGACAGCCCGAGCGGCAGATAGCAGGGAGACTGGCGCCAGACGGCCCCTTTTGTTTATCTGACAGCTAAATATCAAGGCAATCACCGCCTCGCTGCCCTGCCTCCAACCCCCAGAGCTAAGACAAACAGTTTTGCTAAAAGAATGCCACTGTTATCATAAGTTCCTATCTTTTTTCTTTCTTTTTTTTTTTTTTTTTTCCTTTCTCATGGCTCTGCCTTTATTTTCTCTGTACTTTTCTAATTCCAGAGTCTCCCCCTCCACCCTACTCCAGATATCCAATGGATTTTCTCAAACCAACTGGTAAGTGGACTTTTTCAATGCAGACTGCAGATTAAAAAAAAAAAAAAAAAGGGAAAACGGCCCCTTTTCTCAGGGGAAACGTCTCCCCGCTTTTGTCACGCCGCGACGCGTTTCGCTTTTGGGCTGCTTGCGTGCTTCTGCGCCTCCTGATACCCCTGGAAGAATTAACATGTCATTTATCTGAGACACCCTCTGCACAAAGTAGGATTTTAAAAACTCTGGCAGGAAACTTTAGGAGGGATTGCAATGCAGCGCAGGCCTTCCCTGCTCCGAGTCACTTGGAAAGCCGGGAAAAACCCTGGGCTCCACTTGTAAATGGCAGTGCTCCGGCACCCCTGCGCTGAATTTGTAGGGATTTAGGTTGGGATCCAGCACAGCTTGCGTTAGCATCTCCCTGATGGCTGGGAATCCCAGTGAGCCTTGGCAAATGGAGTTGGTAGAAATCTGTCTGTGTTTTAAAGGAGCCTCGTCCCACCTCATCAGGTTGAAAAAACTAGGAAAAGGGGGTTGAAAAGTTTTTTTTTTTTTTTTTTTTTTTTTTTTTTTTTGCATGCCTGTTGCTTGTAATTGAACGTCAGGGTGCCAGGGGAGAAGCCCATTTGAGGCTGGCACCAGCTCTTTTGCGGTTGTCTGCATAAACTCTTGGTTGGCAGCGAGCTCACCGGGTGTGAGATAAATCGGCCTGGAAGAAGGAGGAGAGGTGGGGAGAATGGGAGAACGGGGGGGTGCTGGGGGATGAGCAGCTCCTGGCTCCCCCAGGATTAAGGGGTCCGGAGCGTTGGCTGGAGCGCGGTGGTCTCTGTGGTCGAGTCCTTCGGTCCCAGCAGGCAGGAGGGACACAGTGGTGCAGAGAGATGTCTTTCTGAAGACCAATACCATTTTTATTTATTTTTTTTTTATTGGCCAAAAAAGCAGTTTCTGTAAAATTACCGCTCCTCAGTTTCTCAGGAGTAGAAGAAACCCCGAACTTGAGGTTGCTTTGGACACATTGGGGTACCGTTGCGGGGTCCCATCCTGCCCACTACTCCCTCGGAGGCTGGACTGTTGTTTTTCCCCTCTGCAAACTCTTCAGAAAGGCTTAACAAGTCTTTTTGTGCCTTGTGGAAATAAGCAAAGCTGTTTAACAAACAGTCGGGTTGCGAAGACTGAAATATTTTGCCTCGGCGTGAAAAAACAGGAGATAAGGGCTCGTGAATGAAAGAGGGTTATCGGGAGGAGGTTCAACATCCCGAGCACGTGCTGGGATGCAGAAGGGTTGTTGCCTAAAAGACTCTGAGGGTCCGCTGGGTCGCAAGGTTTCGTGGATTTGGGCGAGATTGGCATCGTCTTCGCCTGCGTCCCTGCTGGGGGACGCTTCCCCAAAAGTTTACATTTCTGCCTTTGAAAGCTTTTCTTTCCACCCAGCGATGATCCCGGTGGGGGATGCGAAGGGGTTCGGAGCTGCAGGAGAGAAGGGTTAAAGCTTGCCTTGGGTTTCCTGTAAAAATGTTAGGATAAATCTATTAGCAGGGTTTAAACATCCAATCTGCCTTTGCCAGGACCTCATTTTCAGTTAGCCGAGTGATATATTTATTCATTAGCAAGTGTTGACATAAGGTAGCAAAATGTGTGTAAACAGAAAAGCCGCAGAACATGAATGTGCCATTTCGAAAGGAAAAGTTATTCCTATCGGCCAATAGGAAGTGATTAACGCTGCCCATCGGAAACGCAGAAACAACTGGGTTACTCACCAAAAAGTCCTCCTTTTTTTTCCTTTTTAAAAGAAAAATCCACTTGGCAGCTGAACTCTGACTAACGGGGCCGCGACAGGCACAAAGTGGAGCCTGGGAGTCTGTTGTTGCAGGTGGGTTTTGCAAGCTCAGGGTTTCTCGGCGTTTCCTCCGCGGAGGGACCAAGGGTTTCCCGTCCCAGCACTGGTGCCATCTCCTGCGGCACTTTCCCAGCTGGATGTTGAGGATTGCTCGCCACGGGCTGGCTAGAGGGAAGAGGGACGGTAGATGATGATGGGAAAGGTGTGAAGCCTTTTACCTGGCTGATGCCCGTGAGCCGTCTTCTCCCCTGGGACCTTGGGTGGGAATGGTCCCACCATTTAGACTTGGGCAGCTGCATCTGCCCGTGGAGCTGGGAACGTGCATCCAGCGGGAAACTTGTGCTTTTTCCACCAAGCGTGATGGTGGTCATAAAAATATTTAAGCATTTAGCGCTAGGTCTTGTAAGTGCTTGGTATGGGCGGACGGACAGGAATGCCTGGACCAGTGTGGGCTCTGGCAGCGGTCGCCGGTGCCCATGATCATGGAATCACGGAATGGTTTGGGTGGGAAGGGACCTTTAAAGGTCACCTCGTCCAACCCCCCTGCCACGAACAGGGACATCTTCCACTAGATCAGGTTGCTCAGAGCCCCGTCCAGCCTGACCTGGAATGTTCCCAGGGATGGGGCATCCACCACCTCTCTGGGAAACCTCTTCCAGTGTCTCACCACCCTCATCGTAAAACATTTCTCCCTTCTATCTCATCTGAATCTCCCCTCTTTTAGGTTAAAACCATTGTGATGGAGATCACGGTCTTTTTTGGAGGTGATGGAGGTTGGGAGAGGCTGTGTCGCTGGCTGGAGGAAAGCAGGGATGGGCAAGGAGCTGCGGGCAGTGAGATGGTCACGTTGGTCTTGTGTGCTGCTAGGATAGAGCTGGTGTTTGTATGCTTGCCGTAGAATGGAAGGATCTGCCCTTGACAGCCAGTTTATCTGCGGGAAGGCTGTAGGACCAGGCTGGCTTGCTCTTTCGTCAAGGAGAGGACTTCTCTTCTCACAAGGGCCGGTTGCAGGGATGGATGGCGGTGGCTTGCACGGGGCCAGGCTGGCTCTGCAGTGCTGGAGGCTTGTGGGGGCTCAGCATCCCCAGTATCCCTGCAGGAGCTGCCGCCTGGGGCTCTGCTGGAAGTGAGATGGATGGTGGTGCCCCCAAATAATTCAAGCGGATCTTTTGACCCATCGTTAGGTGCGACAGGGGGCTGCAAGTCGCTGTGTCCATCGTGCTCCTGGGCGGTTGGTCATGGTGGTGCTGGATGACGCACTGAGATGTCGCTGCAGAGCCCTGTGCCTTCCTGTAGCATCGATTTTCTGGGGAGTTGGAGGTTTGGCAGCCTCCAGGAACTATTCGGCCCCTTGCAAGGTTGGGCTGGTGACCACCAGGAATAATTGTATGTCTGTGATGGTTTTATATTGCGGGAAGGCAGTTTTGGGAGGAGATTCCCAGGCAGTGTGCTTGATCCTACCTCTGATCCTGCGACCTCTCTTGGGCTGAAAATAAAACAAGCCCAAGGACCCGCTACTAGCGAGAGCCCTCGGCAGATCTATGGGTGACGGGAAGAGTGCGAGGATGAGACCAGCCACGTGTAGGGCAGAGAGCCCAGGAGGGTCCTGCTTTTGGGCTTATCCCACACCTGGCCATCATGCTTGGTCTAGAGTGAAGGTGCATCAGCTCTGTGTCCTCTAAAGAGTCTTCAGAGGGTAATTAATTGATGAAGGGCACCGGCTGTTGGATGATGGATGCGGGGAGGGAGCCGACGGCTGTAAAGAAGTCATGAAAGCGCCTCACCCCATCACTAGGGTTATGCATTTTAAGTCGGGGTAGGGTTCTCTCCTGCCATCCTGTCTGATGTGCTAACAGAAGACCTGGTCGCGTACGATCCCTAGAGCAAGAGAACGTGGAAAAGCCAGGGTTAACCCATCACACCTTTATCCTGGAGGGACTCTCCTCAGGGAGCTGTAACTGGGGGCAGACGGAGCCCAGCGCAGGGCAGGGTGGTCCAGCCTGCCTTCAGAAAGCATCTGTAGTAGCCCAAGCAGTTGAAGGCAGCTCAGGGAAAGGGCGTGGGGAATCTGCTGTCTGGGTTAGAAAGGGTTAAAAGAAAAAAACCATACTTCTTTGAAGCATAGAAAGCACTACAAGGCATTTAGAGAGTGTATCGTATACAGTATTTCACAAGTAAGTCCATTTCCTGTCTCCCCTATTGTTTTCGGTTTGATTAAGTATATCCTGTTAAACTGTATATTCCTGTTAGGGCTTCCACTTTGCTCTGATAAAATGAGGTTATGCGGACAGGAATTTCTTTTTTGCTGGGATTTTCAGGGATGAAATCTGGAAAAATGACTTTTATCGGTAAGGAGAAAATTATCTTGGCTCTCCTGGTGGTGGCCCTTGCTTTGAGATACAGTTGTAAGCAAAATGATGTCATCAGGGAGCCCAAATTTGATGAAACCCAAAGTCCCCGAGAACCTGCTGAGGACCAGAAGGTTCCGTGAACTTCACGGATCTTCTCGGGCTTGTCCTTGAGCTTGTCTCCCCTGTGGTAGTGACCAAAAAGCTGGAGTTTGCCCGCAGGACTGGGGGGGATCGGCGTTGGCTCGTGGCTGTTGTCGCCCGGAGGAGCGGGCTTGGGATGGAAAGGTCCAAACCTTGAGCTCGAAGACCTCCATGGCACGAGGAGAAACCTCTGATGGGGTGGCCGATCTTCCCCTGCCCTTGCCCTGTGGGGGTGCATGGAGGGGTAGATCCAGTTGCCCACCAGAGGTGACAGTGGGGTGTAAGATCTGCCAGCAGCTGGCGGTGACAAAAATTGAGCGGGGGAACGCAAACGTAGACCGTTTGCCGCAAAAGGGCGGTGATGAGACATTTCCCTTTCGGTTCCCATTTCAGTGAGTTACAGGTGTTGACTAAATCGGGTGCATAAAGCCACGATTTAAGCATTTTTGGGAGCTTGCTTACATCAGAACGATGACAACCTTGATCTCGTTACCCGGTGACTTGGCCGGAGAGGTGGCAGCCAGTCTGTAATTTTTGCCGGTCTATAATCAGCGTTGGCTGGTGATGAAGCGCAGCGCGCAGCCTTGATTGAGGCGACGAGTTAGGGTGGATGCTTCTTGATGAACTACCGTCTCTGCACGGACAATTAGTAATCGCTTCCTGCTAAACCCTTTGGAATGTGTGTTCTGCTCGCGGCGATGCTGGGAGCCTGCGAAGAACCGCCTATATACTGATTTTTTTTTTTTTTTTTTTTTTTTTCCTCTGCTCCAGCAGATTGTCCAGACTCTGTGCCTTCCTCCACTGAAACAGGGGGAACTAATTGTCTAGCCCCTGGGGGGCTTTCAGGTAAGACATCTCTTGTTGCCCTTGATTTTGGCCGCGGGTTGCGTTGACCGAGGGTCCTGACGGAAGGCGAAGTGATGCCGGGGAGTTTTGGGGATGCGCGTCGTTGAGAAAGGCATGCTCGAAGGGGGAGTTAGGTTTCGTTTCAGTAGCAGCCGCGTGCCTCTCGTGCAGAGGATGTGTTGAAATCCCAGGCGAGGTTCTCCATCCCCAAAAGCCCATGTTTCCTTTGAATTCCAGCCTTAACGCTCCATTAATTTTCGGAGCGAGGCAGGAGGAGGCGTGTTGGGGAAGGCTAAGCGATGTCAGCCACCCGTTTGTTCGGATGCATGGATTATCGGAGCAGGTGCGGTCGTGCCGTGCAGAAGGATTCGGCGTCAAGCTCTCCTTGACTTGGTGGTGGTGGTGGCACCTCTTGTCTCTGGGACGAGAGCTGGCCTTGGGCTTTGCTCCTGGTAGGGTAACCGGCATCCCACATCTCACGTGTGAGGCCCATGGTGCCCGGGGAGGAAAGGTGACCCTGTTTTTTGCAGAGGGAGTTGGACTCGATGATCCCTATGGTTCCCTTCCAACTTGAGATACGCTGTGATTTTTCCCTCGTTTTCCCGTTCGCCATCTCTTTCGGCCTCCAGGTGCCGTTACGGGATGGGGGTTCGGAGTGTGTTTCCCCCACCCTTCTTGGGCTTTTCACAGAATGCTTTGGCTTGGAAAGGACCTTGAATGGTCATCTCGTCCAACTCCCAACACCTCTTCCAAGGTGTGATGTCTCCAACACCTCATCTCCCACCCCGGCCCGGCCGACGCTGTGGCTGGGCTCCCTCTCAACCAGGATTAAAGCGTCTGAAACCATGTACCTGCGTGTACTCGCTGATGTTTGAAGGTGCTTCCCTTTGTGGGGATGTCTCCCTGATTTATGATTTATTCATTGCTCTGAAACTGGAATTTCAGAAATAGGTCGGCGGCGGCCGCACGCGCGTGTGCATCTGCCCCTGCCTCTCTCCAGGAATTGCGTTTGGTGTGGATGTCTTTAAGTGAGCCTTGTTTGTTTTTCTTTGGGTGTAATATATACCCTGTCTGTTATTTGAGAGGGGAGCATATTGTTTGTTCAAAGGCCCTAATGAGAATTAATCAAACGGAGGGGGAGAGGGAACAGAGAAACTTGTCGCTGTTGTGTGTTTTTTTTTTTTTTTTCTTAAATGCAGAAGTCTTTGGGCTTTTTCTTTATTTTTTTGCTGTTGGAGCCCATAGCTTTAGGGAAGAAAAAAAAAGAGGCTGTAAGAAGAAAAAAGACAAGAAGCAAAACAACACAATAAGGATCTTGTTAGATCCTTTTTTTTTTTTTTTTTTTTTTTTCCTTTTTCCTCCTGAAATACACCCGTTGCGGAGGGGAGGAGAGAGTTCAGTTCCACAGGATACCACATGAAATAAGCAGAGGAAGTACTCGCTTTTAAAAGGGGGCTTTCTGTAAGGTTCAGCCTATTGATAACATCTCGTCTGGCTGCTCTGCTCCCGAAGGGAAGGCAGGAGGTGGGGGCTTGGGCTGCAGGAAATAACACGGCTCGTTCCCGGTGCCTCCCGAAGGGCCGCGGGAAGGGGAGCCCCAGCTCCTTGGTAGACCCTCCTCCCCAAAAGAAAGCACGTTCCCCCCGAAAACGCCTTTTTTTTTTTTTTTTTTTTTTTACTTATTATATTTTTATTATTTCATTGGATTGGGGTTGTTGGTTTTTTTTTTTCTGGTCTTCCTTATCAAAGGTTCCCCCCCTCAAAGCCTGGAAACAGAACCTTTTACGATCATTAACCGCTCTTTTTTCCTCCCCAAATGTAATTGTAGCCATTTAGTTTAATGAGGAGCTGATAGGAGAGTTGACTCATGAAGGGATACGGTTAGCTACCCAAGCCCTGAAACAAAGCCGAATGCCTCCACATGAAAGAGCATTTGTTTTGAATTTGCTCTGATTTACTGGCATCTCCCTTCCGCGCGCAGAAGTGCAGCGCTGAAAATTCCCAACTGGAGAGACCCAGTGGAGAAAAGAAAATAAACGCACTTTGCAGCAATCCTCCAAAGCTCACTTTCTTCTTTTTTCTACCCCCTCTGCATATTTTAGTTAGCAGAAGGGTGTATTTGAAGAGGGCTTTAATGAGTTATTGGCAGGGTACATGGGGAGCGCTTCGGCGTGGTCTTATCGGTAAGTTTGGGCAGCTAGGGATCGGTGATGCCAGGTGGAGAATCCAGCATCCCACATCCCCTCTGGACTAGGGCTGGGTTTGCGGTTCCTTGATGAAAGGACGGCTTTAAGAAAAGCAAAAAAAAACCCCAATTTTAGTAGATTTGGAGCGGGAGGCTGTGGATGCTATCATGGGTGGATGGTGGTGGTGGGTTCCTGTAGCATCGTGGGCAGGTTAGGCTTTGGCCACCAGCGATGGGTGATGGATGCTGGTGTGGTAGCGGCGTTCCAAGTCAGTAGACCCGTTTTAACGTCTCGAAGCTGGAAGGGTAGGATTTAGTGAGGCAGATCTCTCAGCACCGAGAATTTGGGAATGGGGCCAGCCTGGGGTTCACAGCTCCTCTGGCAGGGAAACCGCATGGTGGGGTCGAGAGGACGATGGCAAGAGGAGCATTAAAAAGGGGAACGAAGCGAGCGCCCTTGCAGTTCTCCGTGAGGATTCTTTGATGATGAGGAGTCTCAGGTCCGGCCACTGCCGGGGTCGCAATCTCCTTCTGGAGGCCGAAGGCAGTTTCACTGATGGATACCAGAGGCGCTGGAGGATGTGGGAGGGGGACCGGCACGGCCAGGGGGGATGTATGGGGAGTGTTTTCCCTGTGCGATAACTGATCTGAGCCGCTCTTGCCCTCCCTCCTCTTTCTGTTCTCCTTTCTGGCCCAGGAATGCGATATTGAGTAGTCCTTCACGCCATGCTGGTGTCTTCTTCTCATCCCACCTCTGCTGTCTTGTCCCCAGCCATCCCCTTCTCCAGCTGATGCACCCCTTGCTCCCGCTGAGGCGCTGGCTCTCACTTCCAGATTCTTGCCTTTATTTATTTTCTTATATCTATTTTTATTGGTGGTGGCTCCGTGGGTAGGTCAGTTCTCCTCGCTCACGGTGTCTCCCACCGAGATGGTTGTGCTCAGGTATTACCAGTCCAGATCCTTTCTACCCTTGACGTGGTTAAAGAAGAGAGCAAAAATACCCCATTGGAGATAAAAATAATTTCTGTAAATAGGAGACAGGGTGTTTTTTTCCTGTATTTTGAGCTGACTTGTTCTCAGCAGGTGTGTTTGGTTATGACTCTTCTTTCAAACAAGCAAAGCCGTGCTTGGAGAACCTGGAGGTTACCGGCCCATGGTCCGGTGGCATCCGATCGGTGAGAGCCGAATTCCCGTACGACCCACGGAGGAGCTCTGCTCCGAGGGTAGAAGTGAGCTGATGGTGCTTCATGGTGTTGGTGCTGGGTCTCCATGGGATGCTCTCCACCCGGCCCTGGATGTCTTCCTCTTGACCTGTATGTGGCATGGGACTGGTGGCTCTTGGCTGATGGAAGGTTGTGGTGCCCGTGGTGGGTGTGAAGGTGGTTCTCCTGCAGGACAGACAAATGGTGCTGGGCCTGCTGGTAAAGCGAAGCTCTCCAAGGCCATCAGAGAGGGAAAGCAAGATGAGCTGGCTTACGTTCTTGCTGCCTCCACTGCTTTTTTATTTATAGGGGTTATTCGTAAAATACCAAAATCAAGAGTTTACCCAGATTTCAGCCCAATCCTGTTGACCTGCCCCGACTCTGGAACCACCCCAGGGTCTCCTGAGCCGGTGGACGTTGAGGGACGATGCTTGGTGGGTGCTGGACCACGGCTCTGCAAAGCTTGAGGCTGGGAGACCTGCAAGGCTCTTCTGGGGCAAGCGCAGCCTCATTTTCTCCCTTCTGACTCCTCTGCACCGTAAAGTTGGGAAAAGACCACCGGAGGTGGGAGAAGCATCAGCATCGCTCCCTGCTCCGCCTCTCCCGGCGGTGGGACCTCGTCTGGTTGAAGGGACCGCTTGGCCGAGTGACATTTCATTCCGAAATCGTGAGCAGGCTGGGAATGTTTCACTATGCCTCTGATCCCCGCTGGTATCTGCTCGCCGGGGAAGAAGCACCTTGTCCAAATCCGGAGCTATTTGCCCCCCGATGCGGCTCCCCATCGCTTCCCCCCCCGCCATGTAAACAGGATCCCACACGGTTTCTCCGGCAGAGTCCTGCCTGTGTTTTCCCATTTCCCCCCTCCTTCCACCTCCCTCTCGGACAGAGTTTATAACCTCCTGTGAAATGCCTTTATTTACAAATTGGCATCCTATTATAATCTGAAATTGAGACATCTTCCTGTGGAACTAGGATTGTATATTTGTCCCAGGGATAAACAATTGCTTGGGAATTTTTTTTTTTTTAAAGTCACTTCTTTTCGGTTTATTTTTGAGCATACGTCCTTTTTTTATATATATATATATTTTTTTAATTTGCTTTGAGCATCGCAGGGCATCGCACCCTTTCCTTCCCAGCCTTGTTGAATCCGCGACCCCCTACCCCGCTTACCTAAAAAAAACACCGTCCCGTCCTGGAAAGGACAAGGTTATCAGGGGTTAAAGCCAAGATGACAGCACTGGAGCCTCTGGAGCAAAGCAGGCTGCCTGCCAGGCTAGGAGCCTCCCGGCTCGCCTCGCACATCATCTGACCGTGGCCGGCGGGGAGGAGGGAGCCGGCGCTTGGCACCGACCCCGGGGCTCTTGGCTTGGCCGCCCGCTCCGGCTCCTTCGGCCCCGTGGGTTTTTTTGGTTGTTTTGTTTTTTGTTTTTTTTTTTATTAAGGAGGATTTCACCCTGCAGGGACCCCCCCGGGGACACGGTCGGGATAGCCCCCGTGCTGCTGCGGGGATGCTGGGGGCATCGCCCTCCTGGCTCTTAGCTACTTAAAATCCCCCCGCAAGCAAATAGGACCCATTTAATAATTAATTTTAAGTCTTCCAGAGCCTTCTGATC